TCCTGCCCGTCGCAGGGACTCACTCCCCACAGTCTCGACATGCTCAGCACGTGCCGAGGGGCCTTAGCAGGGCAGCCCCACTGCATGCCGGCCCCTTCCCGACCGTCAGTCCCAGGGTCCCCCGACACCAACACCATCATCCAAAGGCTGCTCCCATGACCTAACCTGGCCTGCCTGGGGTCGCCTCGGTCACGTATTCATTTCTCTCTCTCCAGTCTGCTCTCCACTGTATTATGGACCTGTGACCACTGATGTCCCCTTATAGGTGAAGAAACAGGGCAGTTAAAGTGCCTGTGGTGGCTGTTCTGCCATAAAAACTGATGTGGTCACCAGCAAAGAAGGAATAGGGTGCCCTTCCGTGCACAGCTTGGGCCAGGTGCAGGGACAGAGTGGCTGCCCCCTGCAGCATGGGTCACCTGCTCTGAGGTTCCAGCAGGAAAGTGGAACCTGAGGCTGGCACTGGCTCACCTGAGCTGTCCCCAAGACACCAAGGAGCACCCGGTCCTGGGGGAAAGGACGTCTGTTAATGTTACAGCTTCACGGAAATAGAGACATAACCACCACACAATCAACTCATATTCAAAGTATGTGATTTGGCAAGTTCCGGGCATGTTTATATACCAGAAACCTGTCGCCACCAGTGAGATAACAAACAAACCCATCACCCAGGAAGTCTCCTTGGGGGCAGATTTTCTGGAAGGCTCCCAGGTAGGACACATCTCACCCGGCGGCCTGGGGAGGAACTGCCAGATGGTGGCAGTTCTCCACGTAGCCACTAGGGGGCTCCGAGGCCACTGAATCGGTTCCTTCTGGAAAGCCCTGAGAAAGGTCAGGTCTCACCTTGCTCCCTAACTCAGGAGATGGCCCTGGCATCCTTCAAGCTGCAAAGCCAGACCTGCAGCCACTTCTGATGGCTCCCCCTCTCCCCACGATCCTCAGCGCATCCCCGGCTGAGGCAGCTCGTGCCTCCCTCCAGTAGACAGCTGAAGTCCACCCCGCTCCCGGACTTCCCCCAGCATCTGCCTGGTGCACACGGAGTCCTCCTAAGCCAGACTTTGCAGAAATGCAGATTCTGTGGCAGGGGCTCAGCTGGGGCAGGGGTGCATCTAACAAGCTCCCAGAGACTGCAGACGCTGCTGGTCTTCGAGGCCCTTGAGCGGCCTCTGAGGGGCCTCTTGCCTCCACCAGGGTACAGCTCCCCAGCTCCGGGACCCTCCCCCTTGACGGCCCTTCCTCCTCACAGCTGGGCAGCCATGGCAGGGGCAGGGCCAGGGAGGGCCAGTGGAACATGGGGTCGGGCCCCAGGCAGGCAGTGGCTGTGCTTGGGTCTCTACGGGAGGTCACAGGGCCAGGAGATGCCTCCTTGTCCTGTCTGGCTGGCAGGTCCCCAGAGAAACTGCCACGCTCTACTTCAGCCTAATAAGGTTCCAAGTTTACCCAGTTGGGCATCTGTGAGCCTGTGCAGGCAGCTGGGTGGACCTCCTGTTAGCCTCAGGGGTCCAGGGACCCTCCCAGAGTTGGCCAGAGAGGGGCCTGCTTCACCCTACCGCACACACTGAGGCTCAGAGGGGCAAGACAAGCCCAGCCTGCAGCACGAGCCACCCAGGCTGGTGTCTTCTGGAATGCCCTCTGTGCCCTCACTCTCCCCAGATTGAAGGGAGGACAGGATGCGCTGTAGCTCTTCAAAGTGCCACTGAGAAGCTCTCCAGCCCTGGGCAGACACCCACCTCTGTGATCACCCATTTCTCCTCTGTAAAGTGGGGTGAACCTGTGAGGTCTCTGGCAGCAGGTGTGCTGTGCAGTTCGTATCGCCCGGTGGTGCCCGTTGCCGGGGTGATCACAAATAAACAGGTGAGGCCTGGCCTTCCGACGCAATAGATACCTTCAGAGCAGCAGACGCGAGGTCTGTACCCCGGAGGCACGCCAGGCCTCTGGGAGGGCTCCCGGGGTTCCCGTCAGGTCCCAGAGCTGACCTCCACGCCCTGACAACCTGGTGACGCACTGAGGCTGGGGCTGACGCAAGCAGAGACGCCCAGACCTGCCAGGGGCAGGCCTGCTGGCTGGGGCACAGCCAGCATGCCCTGGGCAGAGCTACAGCTTTGGCACCCCCAGAACTGGGAGGCCATACCTGGGGCTGCCGGGTGGGCGAGTCTTCCCACACCTGGCGAACGGTGGCTCAGAGATGCACCTGGGCCCCGGGCATCATGCACCTCCACGTCCCCATACCAGCCTCTTCTCAGACGGCCACTCCCTGCCCTGTGCTGCTGGACTGTGGGGTGGCCGTGGAGATGGAAGCCGTTTAGAGATAAGCCCATGGAAGGTGGACACCGGGCTGGATGTGGCCCTGGGGCGGGTTGGGTGTCCAGCCGGAGGACATGTACCCCAACCGCACGGCCCCATCTGACCCTGAAGCCGTGGGTGTTGAGGGGATGTTCCTGGGGTTTCCAGAACACAGAGGAGGCTCAGAATTCCGCGGACATACCACGTTCAGGCTTCCACCAGGGCCAAGGGTCTCCAGGATCCTCTGCCTTCTTGCACTTCTGAGCCCAGCCTCCGTCTACCCACCTCAGAGGGCTCGGCCCGGGTGTCCCGGCCATGGATGGCCCCAGCACCTTCCCAGTGCATAATGCATCCGCACACCTGCCCTATCTGCATCCAGGCCACCCACCTGCGTCCTCGAGGCCTGGCCTCGACCACTGCCCCAATGCACGGGGAGTTCTAGGTACCCCACGAGAGCTCAGTAGAGATCTGTGGAATGCATGGGAGGGAGGGAGGGAAGGGGGAAAGGAAGGAGAGCAGTGGGCAGGCGGGTGTTCACAGCCAGCCATGACGGAGGCCTGTTCTGTGCTGACCCTGGATGCCCAGGGTACGGGCTGACTGTCAGCCCCCTGCTCTCCACCTCGCCCAGGCCACCTCACTCAGCCCCGTGACGCGGTGGAGACAGCTCAGCCTGAGATGCCCGGGGCCCTGCCGCACTCCTGCCCCGCGATGGCCTGTCCCTACACTGCCCTATCTCCACCTGGCGTTTCTGTCTTCTGCATGCCCGTGGACACCAGCCCCAGGACGGCGGGGATCTGCCTGCGCCCCAGGGTCCGGCAGAGTGACTGGCATACCAGGGGGCTCAGAGTCAGCAGAGGAAGTGTGGAACCCCTGGGCCTGCCCCGTCCCCCACGGCGAGCTCCCCTCTCAGCCCTCCCGCAGGCCCCCAGGATGCACTCACCGAGGACAGGGCATCCTCCCTCCGGCGGCCCTGGCCGTGGCGGCTGATGAAGGAGCGTGCCGACAGCCGGTAGTGGCTCAGCAGGCAGGTGATCACCACCACCATCACCATCATCACCACCACGATGACCAGGATCTGCACGAACTCCAGTTCGGCTGCGGGGACAGAGTGTGGTGTGAGAAGCAGACGTGGGACGCGGGACCCTCTACACCCGTGGCGCCTCAGGGAAGCCCGTGGGCTCCCTCCCACTAAGCCCAGGGCTGGTGTGCACCTGGGGGCAGCTCCCTGGGGAGGCTGGGGGGAGGACTTCTAGAAGACCATGCAGGGCAGGGCCCCGACCCCAGCGCCCCCTCGTGGGACTGACCCCACCGAGGCAACGGGATGGGCACGGAGGACTCTGAGCCCGACCCGCACAGAGGAAGCCCTGGACACCAGCTTCCTGCTGCTGGGCAAAGGCTGAGGTGGGGGGACACGGCCCCCTCACCTGTTCAGGGGGACCTGGGCAGGGGCAGCCGGGAGGAGCAGGGAACCCCAAATGGGGTGTGGAGGTGCTTGCACAGGCGTGGGGTTGGGGTTCTGGGGTAGGACAGAAAGGAGCGCCATGTGGGTGCGTGTGCACAAACCCACATGTGCCCAGTCCTCCACACACATCAACACCCCAACACACATGCCCTGACACCCCTAACACAGCAGCACCCCAACACACGCCCCAAACACCCCGACACACACCTTGACACTCCTCCACACATCAACACTCCTCCACCCACAACACCCCAATGGACACACCCCCAACACGCCCACACACATAACACCTCAAAACACACTCCCCAACACAAACACAGACAACAGAACCGCAGACACAGCGCACACACACACCACCCCCAACAGGACAGGAGTTCTAAAGACCCCTCCTCTTGGTGAAGAGGCCTCAGAAAAACCACAGGGCAGACGGTGGCAGGTGTCGCGATTCTCGCTTTCATAAGGTTTTTTTTGGGTTTGCTTTCCCTCTAGGAGGCGGAAAAGCCCTCGAGTGCTGGGACAGGAAGGAGGTTATTTTGATCCTGCTCGGTGGTTTCTGCTGACTGAGCGGGCCTGTGCTGCGCGGCCTCGGCAGCTGGTCGAGCCCAGTGCCAGCCAGAAGAGCCCCCGCGCTGGGCCAGATGCCGGGTCCTTGGGAGGAGGCAGCCTTGGCGGGGAGGCTCCATGGCCCCGCCCAGCCTGGGGCACCCCCCGCCCTGGGTGCACAGGAAGGCCAGGAAGGCAACGCCCCAGACCCAGCCGGCACACGGGTGGGGACAATGCCCCGGTGCCGCCTGGGCATTCACAAGCAGACGCCCCAGCCACGGGTTCAAGCCCAGTGCAGCTTGCTTGGGGCCTCCTCCCCAAATGGGGGATGGAGTGGGAGCGGCCGCAGGCGACTCTCGGGTGGGACTGGAAGAACCACAGGCACGAGGGCTGAGGTGTCAGGCGCGCAGGCCACACAGACGCCCAAGCAGGCGCCCAACCCCGCGCAGGCCACGGCCTCCGCCACCAGCCCGGCCTTTCCAAGGCTTTGAGCAGCATTGCAATATGTCCTACTAGGATGGTGCCTGGCTGCAACATGGTGGGAGCCTCTCCCCTCGCCTGCCTGTGTCCTCCGGCTGCCTCTTCCTCCCAGCCAGGTTTTCCAGAATGTCCACCTCCCAGGTCGTTGCACACACTCGGCACCACTGTTTGCAATGCTGCTGCATCAGTGCCCCCAGGGACACATGACAGTCACAATGGGGGGTGCTGTTGGCACGGAGCAGGTGGCGGCTGGGGATGCTGCTGGCATCCCCCAGCGCCCAGGACGGCCCCATGACAGAGTGACCCAGCCAACAGCACCGCGGGCCAAGCACACCTGAGAACAGGTGCGTTCTCATCTGCCCCCCCCCCCCCCCGCCCCACTCACAGGTGAGGACACAGGCCCAAAAGGAAAGTGACAGGCTCCCAAAGTGAAGGCGTGCTTCTGCCCCAGGTCAGCATGGTGCCAGGGAGACGGAGTCAGCCTGAATCTGGGCTCTGCTCCCGGGGGAAGTGCCTCCCCCCCAGGGGTGGCAGGAAGGATGGACTGATCAGGGTCTGTGACTGCGGGACCCGCATGTCTCTGCTGGAGAGGCCAGGCCTCAGACCCGGTCACTGCAGCCACGTCTCTTGTGTCCCCAGATGCAGCGGGTCGCGAGTCAGGGCAGCCCAGGCTGATCTGCAGGGCCCAGGCTGGGGCGTCAGCGCCGAGATAAAGCCACATTCAGGGGACACACAGGGCAGCTTTGTGTAACACCCACGTCCCCCTGCCCGCCTGCAAATCCCTGTCCCCAGTCCTGTGCACTCTTCACCCCAGCACTCCCCACCCACCATCTCCAGGGCCCATGCCAGGCTGCAGAGAGGGAGGTGTGGCTGCCTTTGTCCCTGTCCCGGGCCCTGGCAGCTGCGGGACCCAGACAGCGGTGGCGAGACAGGGGCTGAGGCTATGGGGCCAGTGGGGCCGAGGGACACTGGGGCCACAGAAGAGGCCCCCAGGCCCAGTGGATGGGGGAACACCCTGCAGGACTCTCCTGAATCCGCCGGACTTGGCCCAGGGCAGGGCTATCTGCTTGCCAGCGTCTGTGTCTGCAGAGTGAGCAAACTGCCCCCAGAAATGAGCACCGGGCTCTGACCACTGGTTCTCGGGGCCACCAACTCCATGAAGGCACAGGCCCGAAAAACTCACACGGGGAGGGAAGGGGAACACTGCGAAAAAGAGAAACGCGAACGCACCAGGCTAGACACTGCTGCAGGCCATGGGCTGGGGGCCAGACTCAGCGGGAAGAAGACTTCCAAGGGTCCCAGACTGTGGTCAGGATGGGGCATGGAGGGGCTGGGAGGGACCAGGCCCCCACCTGCCCTGAGGGCCCTTGGTGAGCCCATCACAGAGGCTGGGAAGCACCCATCATACGGGAGTGCTCCCAGAGGGGTGGTTATCAGGAAATCTGGGAGGGCTCCCTGTAGGCGGGCACTGGGGCCTGAGGCAGGGATAGAGGGGTAGGCAGAGAAGGGCAGAGGCCAGCAGGGGGCAACTGGTTCATCCTACCCACAGGGAAGGGGACACCAGTATCTCCAACTAGGCCTGGGCAGTCCCCAGCCAGCCCTGCCAAGTGCCAATCCTGTATATACCCCTCCAGCAGCACCAGGCCTCCCGACGACCACCCTTGGCCACCCACGGGGCTGCTTCCTGGAGGACCCTGTCTTTGGGGGATACAGACTCACTTCTCTGGGACACAGATCATGCACAAGCTCGCTGGCAAAGGTCACACGCCGAGATCAGCCACGATTCCTGGGCCCTGCTGTGTTCCCTCTGGCAGCAGGGAGGCTGGAGCTCCACACGGGCTTAGTCCTAGAACCCACCTGGGCCAGGGTAAGCCACACCTCGACTCTATCTGCCTGGGCCCTGTCTGGACACCAGGGCTTCAGCATCCACACCTCTGCTGCGCAGTCCTGCACCCACGGCAGGCGTCGCTACTCAAGCATGAGCTCTTGCCCCACCAGGTCCACACGCCTCTCTAGACAGCCATCACCAACCACTCAGCAAAGACCAGGGTGGGGGGATGCCCCACGCCCAAGGGCATCCGTGGCGAGCCCCAAACATCCTCAGGAGCAGCAGCACCCACAGGGCACGACTCTGCACCACAACAGCTCCCAGAATCCTCCTGTGCACCTGCCGCTGTTGCCAGAGCACAGGGATGCTGGCTGGGCCCACTCCAGGGCCGACCCAGGTTGCCACGCCCCCGTATCCAGGGACCCCGAGCCGTGGGCAAGGCTGCCTGGCCCTAACGGCTGGCAACTGACTTAACAGTTTTACAAGGGCTAAGCGGGCGAAACCCAAGACATCGCAGGGCGGCTTTGGACTTGAGGCTGAGAAGGGCCTCAGACCACTCAACTACCCATGACAGACAGGGAGCCTCACTGGCCCTGCCTCAGTTTCCCTAATCCGACAGACCGCCCCTCTCCCTGGATGTGAGGCCAAATGCCCAGTGTGGAGGCAAATGTGGGATGAGTCCTGCCGCTGCCCTCTGCCCTAGGCTCAACTCTCTTGTGACCACAGGGCTCACTGCCAGTTGGTCACAGAGGTGGATGGGGGGACACAACAGGAGAGGGCGGGTGGTTTGGTTCACAGCTCAAACTCGCTGTACTTGTAAGAACCATGATACCAACAGCAACAATACTTACCGCAGCCCGGTGCTCCGAGCCTCCCCCTGCACGTGAACGCCACTACTATTTCCTTTTTTTTTTTTTTTGAGTTGGAGTCTCTGTCACTCAGACTGGAGTGTAGTGGCACACTCCCAGCCACTGCAGCCTCGACCTGCTGGGCTCCAGCAATCCTTCCACCTCAGCCTTCCAAGTAGCCGGAACTACAGGTGTGTGCTACCACACCCAGCTAGTTTTTGATTTATTGTAGAGACGAGGTCTCGCCAACTTGCCCAAGTGGATCTCGAACCCGCGGTCATTTCTATTTGGCAGATGGGCAAACTGAGGCTTAGGGAGAAGTTGCCCTAGGTCACAACTAGAAAGCAGGGCCAAGGCCTGAACCCTGAGCCTCTCCCATAGCTGCGAGTGCCTCTCACCTCTCAGGCCCTGGGTATCTCTGAGGATATGGCTTGACCAGAGCCTGGTCCGTCCTCTTGCCCCTGCCAGCTCGCTGCTGTGTGACCCTGGACCCGTCACCTCCGTGAGTGGAAGTTACCTCATCTGTGGAGAAAGAACCAACTGGGCGGGAGGAGTGAATCAGTGGACATAAGCTCTCAGAACAGGCAGGGGACAGAGCGAGCACTCACTGTCATCGTTATTACAATCCCTGACGCCTTTCTGGGGACAAAACCCACCCCTCACACCCACTGCTGCCCCTGGACACTCTGAGGTTTGCTAGGTTGTAGAGCGAATGCCTGCTGGGCCTGGTGTCCCCTGCTTGGTCTCTGTCCCCTGTGTGGGAAGTGTGAGCTATGGTCAGTCCCAAGGTGGTACTGGACCCAAGGGGGCCTTACGGGTGCCGGATCCTGCTCCAAGAGCCCACACTGATTCTCTCTCTGTCCCAGACCCACCACACTCATTTGGGGTGGGCTAAGGCACGCTCTAGTCATTTTTCTTTGCAATTTTCCCCT